TGATCAATTTTATCGGTAAGTTAGATTAGGGTCACATGACCCACATCAAGACTCAAGAAAGAAAAGAGAAACATCCCTCTCGAATCATCATGATTTGATTTGTTTGTTTATGCTTTCTAGTTTAAATTTTGTGTTGCAAATTACCCAAATTAGTGTTAGGATATCAATCCAAATCCCACATCGGAAGTTTAGACAAAAATTGTCTAATATATAAGAGATATCCAACTCTAATTAGTATGATGACTTTTGGGAAGGAGCCCACAAACAAATCCGTGCGGGCTTTGCCACTTGGGCCCAAAGCGGACAATATCATACTAATGGGAAGAGTTGGATATGAGTTTGAAAAGCCCCACAATTGGTATCAGAGCTCAGGTTCAGAAAAGGTGGACCAGGAGAAGTGGGTGTGGGCTGCAAGTTCGTTGTGGAAAGAGAGCCCCTCAAGGTGACCTCGCGATTAAGGGGTGTCGGTACCTTGTGTCGAAAGTCTTCCTAACTAAGCGGAAGGTTAAGCGGCAGATTCCGTTGGTGATTATGGCGGTACAAGATGGGTGCCAAGTTTCGCTGGAGGTGGGAGGACACAGGTTAATGTGGTCCTTGGTTTGAGGGGAGGATTGTTGGGATATCAATCCAAGTCCCACATCGGAAGTTTAGACAAGAATTGTCTAATATATAAGAGATGTTCAACTCTAATTAGTATGAAATCTTTTGGGAAAGAGCCCAAGAACAAATTCGTGCTGGCTTTGCCTTTGTGCTCAAAACGGACAATATCATACTAATAAAGGAGTTTGACATGGGCTAGAAAAGCCCCACAATTAGTACATTTTAATTTATATTTTCATCTCTGGCATCTTTCCTATAGAGTTTTTAACTATCGAATTGTTGGTTCTAGAATTCTAGTACAAGATAGTTCCACACACACAAAAATATTAGTACAAGATAAAATGATTAAAAATATTTTGAAACGCAATATCTAAAGTATATATCTTTACTATATTGTCCTATATAAAATAAGTAATTAATATATTTGAACACTGTTTATAAATTATTTTGCTAGAAAATAATTAAATTGGAAATATATGATATGAAAATATGTTATCGACAAGAAAAACGCGTTATTGGATCACAAAAACTAAAATTCTCTTTCAAACCATCTCTTCTATTAGTACTTGAGATTTTAAGGAAATTACAAAGACGCATAAGGTTTCTAACTCTTCAAGAATCCTACATCATTCTTATTTCTTAGACCGAATTTTCGGAATCTGAAACCTGGCCATGAAACCTGACAAAACCCAC